TCAGGCAAGTTAGTCATCTCTATCCTCAGTCTCCTCATCTGAAAGTGAGGATAGTGCAGTACCTATTTCAAGGGGTTGTTGTGAAGACTGAATTAATATATGTTAAGGTAGTTAATAACCAACACGGAGTCATCATTCAATCAATGTTACCTCTAATGATGATTACAATTATTCACATAATATTATTAAGAATAATGACTATTAATATTCTCCTTTAACTGAATATTCAAAATCGTATTTGATTCTCTTGGATAATTTTAGCCAAAATTTTTTAGGTATGATTTATTCCTTTTTTTAAATTCAAATGTAATTAACCTACAATGTTATATTAGTTTCAGGTACAGAGTATAACAATTCAACAATTCCATAAATTTCTCAGTGTTCATCAAGATAAGTGAGCTCTTAAACCCCTTTATCTATTTCACCCACCCCCCCAACCCACCTCCCCTCTGGCAACCACCAATGTGTTCTCTGTATTTAAGAGTCCGTTTTTTTGTCTTTTTGTTTGTGTTTTGTTCCTTAAATTTCACATATTAGTGAAATCGTATGGCATTTGTCTTTCTCTGTCTGACTTACTCTCACTAAATATTATACCCTTTAGGTCATCCATGTTGTTGCAAATGGCAGGATTTCATTCTTTTTTATGGCTGAGTAATATTCCATTGTGTGTGTGTGTGTGTGTGTGTGTGTGTGTATGTGTGTATGTATACCACATTTTCTTTATCCATTTATCTATGGATGGACATTTGTGTTGCTTCCATATCTTGGCTACTGTAAATAATGCTGTTATAAACATAGGGGTGCATCTTTTTGAATTAGTGTTTTCATTGTCTTTGGGAAGTACTGGATCATATGATAATTTTATTTTTAATTTTTTGAGGAACCTCCATACTGTTTTCAACAGTGCCTGCACCAATTTGCATTCCCACCATCAAATTTTAGCCAAAATTGACAGGTATAAACAACATACAGTCCCATCGATTCCACATATATATTGAGAATACTAAGAATGCAAGAGAAGCTAATAAGATCCTAAATGAATTTCAGCTATATTCCTTGAGATACAGTGCCTGTCCTTGTGTCTCTATTTCACCTCTTAGTGAAATGCATTAAAAGAAAAAAACATATTTATCAACTGGAGGCAATTCTGATTTTTAAAAATTCCATTAGTTTTTGAACAGTCATAACTATATTTATTCTTTGTGCAATATGTTCTTAAACACCATATTATCTAATTTATTTTAAATTTAAGAATTTTAGGGGCACCTGGGTGGCTCAGTTGGTTAAGCGACTGCCTTCGGCTCAGGTCATGATCCTGGAGTCTCGGGATCGAGTCCCACATCGGGCTCCCTGCTCAGCAGGGAGTCTGCTTCTCCCTCTGACCCTCTTCCCTCTCGTGCTCTCTATCTCTCATTCTCTCTCTCTCATATAAATAAATAAAATCTTTAAAAAAAATAAAAATAAAAAAATAAATTCAAGAATTTTATTTTAAATCAAAGCAAGCTGAACTTTTTCTCAGGAAAAGCCCAGAGGGTGGCAGCTATTTATGCCAGTAGCTGGCATATCTGCCCTTTTTTATCTGCCTGCTGGACTGCTCAATTCTCTATATTCTTAGGATTGTGCCAAAGTCCTCGTCACTTGGCTTCAAAGTAACCAGAATCTTCAAATAAAAAAATTTGTTTTGTTTTAACAAGAATCCAAAATTCATAAGGACCTGAGGCACACATAAGCTTTATAGCAAATATTCAAAAGCTACCTTGCCAAAAGCTTTGGAACAAAGGGGATGGGAGAAATTCAGACAATTCATGCCTTAATTTAACAACAACAAAAAAAGACTTTTGAATATTCTAACATGTCAGTACTGAGTAATCCAAAAGTTTTCAGAAACCTGTGAGATGTAACCTAATGTATTCCCTATCACCACCAGCACTTCTGTTCCAAATGAATCTCTAGGTATTTTTTACTGGGTAAACATTATCAAAGTTCATTGCAGTCTTAAGGTTACAAGAACAGAGTGTTTAAAATATTCTATAGTTCTCTCGCTTTTTAAAACAAATCACCACAATTTTTGGCTCTCAAAGGGAGATGTATCTTTTATAGAGATAGGTTCCCATCTTGTGGGCTTCTCAGAGATTACTTCTGAAAATCATTTTTGTCATGCTTCATTTTGTTAACCATGAGTTTAGACTAAATCTCAATTAACCAGACAATTCAGTAAACTAGAAGTTCTATTCCCTTTGACAACTAGATGATATTGCTATATACAATTCTCCTCAAACTATATTTCTTTCAAGAAGTTGGTATGAGAGTTCTCAGTACAAGGAGAATTTTTTTTCCTTTTTTCTTTTTTTTTTTTCGTAACTATAAGAAAAGATGGATGTTAGCTGAAGCTATTGTAATCATTTCACAATATATGTAAATCAAACCATCACACCATATGTCTTAAAGTTAGTGATGTATATCAATTATTTCTCAATAAAACTGGGGGAGAAAAGAATGCTACATTTTGGTAATGGCTCAGCTCTGTAATTTCTTTAAAAGATGATCTAAGATCAGTTTTATAAAACAAACAAAAAAAATACCATAGCATGTTGCTCTCCTTTCCATATGGAAAAAAAAAAAAAAGAAATTCAAGTAGAAATTCCCTTAAGAAATTCAACTATGTACCTTTATTCTTTATTTTCTCTGCCCCTAAGCTGCCATGGATAGTTTTCATACAGATTATTTAGTAGCTTCCTAGAAACTATTTTACAAGGTTATAATCATTAGTTCAACAAAAATAATAATAGGAGCCACTTCCCATTGAATTCTTACAAGAGTCAGGTATGGCACAAAACCCCTAGCATACACTACCTCATTTAATTCCTTCAAAACACATGGAAACAATTATAATTATTGACCTTTTTGCATAGGAAGCAGCTAACACCAGGGATATTAAAAGACTTGTCCAAGATTTCACAGTCAATAAGTGGCGGAGTCAAGTTATGAACCCAAGTCTGACTCCAAAGCTCAAGCTCCCCCAGCTGCGCCTGCTATACGGCTTTTGAATTCCTTAAAATCAAGGGCCCAGTTCTTCCTCATCTGGAAGCCTTCAGGAATTAAACCACTGCCTACTCCATAGGGGACTCAAGAAATTGTTGCTTAATTGAAGAATCAAGAGTCATTTGAAAGCATAAATTGAAAACACAGTAGACAGAAACCTACAATTAATTGCCCCACAGCTCAGAATTCAAATATATTTCAAGGTCCCTTATTAGGTTTGATACCTTCTAGAGTCATAATAAATAGGTCATTTGTCAAAGAGATGATGGAAAAAGATTAAAAGAATTCCACCATCTATTGAAGAAACTAAAAGACAGGCATCCATAATGTATCAAGCACCAAAAGAACCATTAGTTTGGATATAGCAGGAAAGGAAGCAAGTTCTGAAATATTAAAACCATGGTTCTGATCCAGGTCCTCTGACAGTCTACCTATGGCTATAGCCAAGTTGCTTTCTCTCTCTTGGTCTCCCTTTCATCAGTATAAAATAAGAAAAAAATTATATATACACACATAAAATGGTTACAGAGTATATGTTCAATGGAAGCCTGCATGATTATTTTTACCGTTATTACCAATGCATCAATTAAATTAAAGATGTGATACTATATGCCTGTTTAAATTATACTTTCAAACTTCAGTGAATGCTTTAGTGTAACTATGGTAAAAAAAAAAAGTCACACAAGGAGAGACACATGTATATCATTTATATTTTCACTTTTTGAAAAAAAAATCCTTGACATGGGTTAAAAAAAAAAAAAGATTCCCAAGGTTACCTAATCTATTATGATTTAACAGCATTTTAATGTTTTCTAAGGAATGATAGCAAAGTGCTGCATCTCTTCAAACTTGGAATTTACTGCCTGTCTGAGTCTCTGCTTGTGCCAAATTAAATATACAGTATGTCCATACCAGAAATAACATAGCACAGCTTCCTGCTCTATTCCTTGGTTGAATGAGTCCAAACTGAGTAAAGGAAGACATGATTTTATTTAATCATCTGAATAATTGTTTTCTTCAATTTCTTGAATTAGAAGGTACTCCAGAAAAAAAAAAAAAAAGGTTTAAAAGAAATTGCCATGTGAATTATCAGGCCATTTAAAGGAAAAAATCTTTTTGAAGGCCCTACATTTGAAAGGCTCAAGAAAAAGCATAAAAAGAGTCATGTTAATAAACTGCTCAGAAAGTCAGGTTCACCTAGCTACTCCACAGCACCCAAACTGCTGAGGACTGACGACTGCAGCATCTCTTGGCCTGTGAGGTCCAAGTAAATTGTAGACTAATGCTTCTTCCCAGCAGATACCAGCCAGAACTCTTTTGAGGAATTTTGTAATAGAAGAACATGGAGAAATGGGATGGTAGATGGAAAAAGATGCCCTGGGGGTCTAAGGAAGGTTGCTGGGTTTTTTTAAGGTGAAGCACATGGTCGTATCATTAGCCACTGATAGATAATGCAGGTGTTAGAGGAGATAAAGTGCAGGAGCAATGCCTTTAAGTAGGGAAAATGTGGAAAGGGACAAGTCATCCATTGTGATAGGAAGGAATGAAGTGAACACACAAGTAGGAGCTTAGGGGGTATGGCAGAAGAGAGATGAAATAGTTCTCTTCCAATTGCATCCGTTTTCGGTGAAATAAGAGACCATCTTTGGCTAAGGATGAAGAGGGGGGAAGATCTGAGGAGAGAGAAGTGAAATAGTCATCCCAGAGAAAATAAATGTGTAGGTAGTGTGCCAGGATTGTGGGTAAGGCTGAGGGCCCACTTGAGAAAGATGGCCATGAACTGAGAGTAAGACTGTTGACAAGGTAGCTATGCTTTCCTCCAGCCATACACTACGTGACTGTAGGCATGGAAGAGAAGGAGAATTAAGTTTAATCAGCAATGGGATTCTGCCAGCTGAATACAAAGGAGATGGTATAGTTACCAAGAAAAATAAAGTCTCGATCAGGAACATTTTTACTCATAGTGCAGCATCAGTATCACCTGCAATCAGGCAATGCATCTTCACAAGATCTCTATTTGGAGATTCAGATGCATCTGAAAGTCTGAGAAATACCTGAGTGGTGGCCAAGTAAAAACAAAAATCATTAAGGATGTCGCTGGGGTCATCTAAGTGGATTGTAAAGCCACGAAGATTGTTGACAGAAGAAATGACTGGGTCAAAGGAAGAGATGCACAGAGCCATATGGGAATGAACGCCCAGGTCATAACAGTTGACCTGGAAGGCTTGAAGTCCTGGTGGTGATTGAGGCAAATGTCTAAAGGATGATGGGATTGGTGTTCTTTTAAGGGAAGGAGGTAGTTGTGGTTGTCTCATCCCCGGGTTTGGTCTCTTTGGCAGTTTATACCGATCACGAGGGCGACGCTGTCACTGAAGAAGCTGTGGTTTTACAAGAAGGACACAGAACCCCGTGAGCTTCTCCAAGGCCTGCTGCAAGCAGTACAGACTGGGAGAGAGATGGTCTTATGAGGAACACAGAGAGAGCTGAGTAGGCTTCCCTTAGATCCACATGCGAGCACGCTCCTAAGGGCAGAGAAGCAGTACGTTGTTAAGCATTTAGGATAAAGGTGGCCACCCAAAGATCTGTGCTTGCACTAACAAGCACAGTAATTCTGTTTAAGAGTAGAGAAATTTATTGATCTCAAAGAGAAGCAGAAAATAAAAAGGGAGAGAAGGACGAACAGAAAGGATAGGGAGATTGATATGCTCTTCAGGATAGTGCAACTCCCTAGTAGCAGCCAAAGTGCATGATTAAAAAGATGAGACCTCCTATCTGATATTGTACAAGTTTCATCTATAAAAATCTGCCCCATTTTCCTTGAAAAAATACAGTATAGTCTCCTCTCTTCATGAGTATATTTGTGAATGGATCTTCTATGATACTGGAGAGAGGCTGAGGTAAGTGAGGATCATGAGCCCACAAGGCAGAGGAGAACAGGCAAATACAGGCTCCTGGGATGTTGAAGAAATTTGAGAGAGAGTTTTGGATAAATGCAGGTTATGCAATTAGGGCGATTATGATATTAATCATATATGTAAAGGGAAGTGGCCCCACTGATAAGTATGTTACACAATAAAATAGATTCTTTTTGAAGACCAGCCAACTGCTTTTTCTGCACTCTCCTCTCCCAGCCCCCCAAACCTTCCTGTCATTATAAATATAATTGTTTGAACGGCTGAGAAACATTTCAGGGCACCTGGGTGGCTCAGTAGATTAAGTCTCTGACTTAGGCTCAGGTCATGATCTCAGGGTCCTGGGATGGAGCCCCAGGTTGGGCTGTCTGCTCAGCGGGGAGTCTGCTTCTCCCTCAGCCCCTCCCCCTGCTCGTACTCTCTCTCTCAAATAAATAAATAAATAAGTAAATTCTTTAAAAATATATATATATTTACATGAACATTATGTAAATATTAAGCCCTTGGGCTATGTGTTTCTCAGGGGCAAGGCCCAACGGTAATGGAAACAAAAGAAGCACTGAAATCCACAAGTTCTTTTTAAAAATCTGAATTCTCATGGGGCACCTGGGTAGTTCAGTCAGTTAAGCACCCAACTCTTGATTTTGGCTCAGGTCATGACCTCGGGTGTGAGATCAAGCTCCAAGTTGAGCTACACACTCTGTGTGGAGTCAGCTTGTCCCTCTCCCTCCCCTTCCTTGCTCTCTCTCTCTCTCTCCACCCACCCCACCCCTCTGCTCTAAAATAAATAAATAAATAAATAAAATCTAAAAATCTGAAAAGCATCCAGAATATGTTTAACAAGTAGCAAAATGATTATCTCAATGCTGTCTACTTTGGTTTAGCTTATTCATTTTTAAAAAGTTGGCAAAGAATAGGGAGGAAAGAACACAAGTGGATAATCAACCTGAGAAGTTAAAAATCGCGTATATGTAAAATAACACACAAATCAAGGATCACTACTTTTCAGAAATTTATATGCATGCCTTCAAGGTCTGCGATCTTTCAGATGGGGTTCAACAAGAATTAAGGAGAGTGAGCGGGGTACCTAACTAATTTCTGAGACCATCAGGGTCTTCCATTATAGACGTTCAGCTCAAAACTCAGACAACTCAAATTAGAGGCAAAGCTATAATTATTATAGAAAACTGAATTATAATTATCCTGGCACTCACCCATAAAAATGTTTCCCAAATCTATTTTAAAAATTAAAAACAGACCAAGGTCTAGAAGCATATCTAGGATCCATCTTAGTATGTTAGTTTCATTCAAGCTGAATTTGCATTTGTTCCTTAATCACAGTGCTGAACCAGTCCTCTACCAAGAGGAAACAAATTAATTCTGAGTTCCTGAGGAAAGACCATAGTAGATCTTCTCTTATTTCTTACAGATAATAAAGCTGCAATCAACTGGATCAAATCAGCACAGTATCCACTTTATGTGACTGGGACAATTCAAGCAGGAAAAGTATAGTTCTGTCTTTAAAGAATACACACACACACACACACACACACACACGGAGTTTCCCATATCCTTTCCTACCATAATAAAAGCCAAGGATTCTAAATTTCATTTTACCTCACAGTGAAATAATTGAGATCATACCCAAGATGCCAGAGCTCTTGGTGCAAACCCTCAGGAGGGACAGCAGAGGTCTATACCAAACTTTTTAAAAAGACAGTCTTTAAAAAAAAAATAAAATAAACTATAAACCTTATACTAGAACATAGTGAACACCTCCCACGTGATGTGATGTGGAATTATACTATAAAGCTTTCCAAGTCAAAAACACTTTCTCCACACACCAAAAACTGAAGACTAGACTTCCATTATTAGTGATGAATTCCCATGGGTTCCAACACGTCCCTCTGCTTAAATGACTATAAGAGGGATTTCCATCATCAATGAGGAGGATCAGTTAGTTGATGCAACCCTTTAGCTAGGAGCAAGTCTGATGGAGAGGGTGTGGGTTGGAGTAGAAGGCACTGGAATCATAGCACTCTCTTGTCAAAGGTAGCAGGATCTGAAGGATTAGCCAACAACGAGGCAGATCAGAGTAGGGATCCATCTATTCAATTCAGGTATCACATTTCCTATCTGAGAAGTGAGAAGGCTAAATTTGATGATACCTAAAAAGTGCAAAATTGACACTTTTGTGAAGCGTGGTAGGTCTGGCTAGAAGTGTAAGTGTTAGCCACAAAGGGCTCAGACGTAGGGAACCAAAATGTCACTAATGCTGATCATAAAAGCACTGCTGGGGGCGCCTGGGTGAAGCGTCTGCCTTCGGCTCAGGTCATGATCTCGGGGTCCTGGGATCGAGTCCCACGTCGGGCTCCCTGCTCAGCAGGAAGCCTGCTTCTCCTTCTCCCATTCCCCCTGCTTGTGTTCTCTCTCTCTCTCACTGTCTCTCTCTCCATCAAATAAATAAAATCTTCTAAAAAAATAAATAAATAAAAGCACTGCTGGAGAAAAGAGGGAAGGCACTGAAGAAAATGTTCTACAACTGTAACTATGTCAAAAGGCAGTTCTACAGGGAAATCATAGTAATGCCTCACATGTAAAGAGACCATAAATAGAAATGGAGAAAAATTCTAGACTCACATTGGGTCACTGAATTGCTCAAATTTTTATTAAAAGAAATGGGAAAGAAAGTAGCGTGGCCGAAGGAAATAATGTTCTTAAGACTAAAAGTATGATTAGCAGTGTTGATGGATTTGCTGGCAAATGGAAAATGCTGGCTTTGATGTGCTGCGTCAAGAACACTCACTCTGAAATGGTCACAGTAAAATTCACTCCTTCCTTCAACAGATATTAATATGGTGCCTGGTACGAGCTTTTGCTGGATGTGAGAAAGGATACAGTGATTAAAAAAAAAAAAAGGACACCTCTACTCTTAAACTTCCAACATCTGACAGAAGACATAACAGATACATCAATAAATACAGTGGAAAATGATACAATCGAGTCAAGCAAAGGTTAGGGGTTTGGAAGAAGAGTTGGAGTTTCTGTTCTCATTTTTATTTGCGAAGGATCACAGTTCCTTCACATATTCATTCACACTAGCCAACGTCAAGAATTTCTAAGGACAAGTTTAGACACTTAATAAAGAACAGCAGTTCCTGAACCATCTGCTTTGCTCTGAAAATAAAGATCCGTCACACGCAAATTTTGATTTTACTCCAACCCTGTGAGAATATTATTGTCAGCTGGGGTAGGTAACATTTGGTTTATAACTGACATGGTGAATAAACCATGCTTTATAAAATGGCTACAATCAGTGCTTCTTTGGGGTGAAAAAAAAAAACCATCAGATGAGGCCAAAAGTCACTCACTTTCAGCAAGTTCCTTTGATCCATTTAAGTGTCCTATTACTAATCTTCTGATGAAGAAATGTGCAAAACACAGAATTTAAAATAAACAACAGAACCTTGTTATAGTCAGACAAAGATATATAACAGAATATCCTAAAAGTTTTTCTTTCTTAAAAAGGGAAATAATCTCCCAAACTCATATCATACAAAACTGCAAATCAGAGTAGCCCAACCCTATGTTGTGTGTATCATTCCTACCTGGTAAGGAACAATACTGCCGTGAGCTGTGCCCCAACGTTTTGCTTCCTTTTGGCCAATAAGATAATTAGCAGCTACCTGGGTCAAACATGCCACCTGCCAGGAGAAAAAAAAAAGGGTAGTTTACTCACAAGCAGAAGGTTATACTATGAAAGTTCTCATTTGAATTCACTTCATGTCATTGAAAAAAAAAAAAAGAGAGAGAGAGAGAAGCAACTCCAAACAGATCAGCAGATATAGAGGCGTCATCATATAAAGAAAGGAAGAGCAGTATTACATTATTACATGAGACTAAGTATGAATAACATTCGGCGCTGGAAAAGATTACCTGAAGACAGGGGTCGACCCTGTAGGTAAAACCTTGGGCCAGCCTTTAGCATCAAGACCACAGCAAAATACATCAGCAACCAGTACATTCCTTTCCCCTTTTCACCCACATCCTTTTACTTTCTGTCAAGATGACAAAAAAAGAGCCTTTGTCATCACTGAGCAGCTGAACCAGTCATGAGCCATATTCCTCTAAATTTCTCATTTCATGACAAACATAACAATAATAAACCTCTATTTTGTTTACGTCGGTTCAGTCAAGTTTTCTGTTACTAGCTGCCCAAAGCATTCTTACTGACACAGAGGATCCAAATTGTTTGACTTGTTAAAATTCCTCAGTGAATCATCCTCATTTACACAAAAAGGGCTCTACCCCTCTCAACTTAGTCCTAACCCCACACCCTCATTATTATACTTAGTTCAGTTTTCAAAAGCCCTAGATCTATTAAAGAGGTCACCTAAAACCTTAGAGTCAACCTCTGACTCCTTCAGTATTTCATATACATAGCTTGAAAACCTACAATAATTCAATTCCATATGAGGATAACATGAGGATAATGAACTTGATTCCCAGTGACCCGCCACAAGGAGCTTCTGTTCCCACAAATACCCATGCCTCCAAGGGCCCAAACTATGGAAAGACAAACCTAATAACAACCTTCCATAGTTTCCAGAAAAAAAGCTTCTGGCCTCATAACATAATCTTGATATACCATGGGCTCATTTTTCCCATCCTAGATCATCAGATGTGATGGGGAGTCTCCCAAGCCAGCAAGTCAAACAGATTCCAAACTGAGTTTGGCTCATGCAACAACTCCAGGGGTGGTTTTTCAGGGCTTGGGGAGGCAACCTGCGATTGGCCTCTACCTGGCCCGGCGGCTTGCCTCCCACACAACCTATCAATAGGGCTCAGCCTGCATGAATCTCCTTAGAGCAGCATTCTCCTTTACTTTATTCTTGGGATTGACACTCACTTTTATGTTCATTTACTGCTCTGTTGAAATTGGAACTGCCTTATGGCAGCTGGTTCGGCTGTACTGCCCAGGTGGCAAAACTAATAAACTTTGAGTCATCCACTTCTGGACCTCCATCTGGTCTCGGGCATTTGAACCATGGAGCATTCCAGGGCTGCCTGGGGCTGCCTAGCGCTAATCACCATTTCACAGATCACTTCTGTGTCTTTCAAAATGGAAAATCAAATCAACATTTTGTAGTAAAAAATGCACTGGATGGGAAGTCCAGTTTCATGGTTTTTCATTTCTGTCAACTCTAAGTAGTTGTACGACTGTAGGTATTTAATTGAACTACTTTGACCTTCAGACACATTCTCTATAAAATCTTGGGCATTTGACCAAAATGGATGGTTTTCAATTTTTTTTTTTAAAGCAGAACTCTTGTATCACACTGAATAATGCATGAAATCCTAATATATGAGCAAGTAATACCCCAAGTGTTCTTGTTGAAGCAGAAGCAGGTCTCCAATGTCACCCGGGGCAGCATGAACACAAAACATAATTTGCAAAATAGTAAATGGTCTTATATTTCCTTCCAAGGTCTACACCTCTATTACTCTTCCTAACAGTCTGGCAGATACCAGAGATGCAATTGTAGTCATTTTCCCATAAAAGCTCTTCCTGAAATTGGCAAAATTTTCTCAAGTCTGAGGTTTGTCTCTAAGAAAGGTTTATCTTTGATCTAGCTCTGTTAGGAGTGGGGGTGGGGGTTGTTCCTTTCAAATAAATTCCGGTGAAAGTCACTCTCCAAGTTGCTCTGGTGCTACTGGAGGCCAAGGATCCACATTAATAAAGGTAATTCTTTGCAAGCAAAGAATCATAAGAGGCTTGGTATTTCTACTTTTTTAATTTCAAAGTCAACTGCTAGGCAATAGACCAACATCAGCATAGCTGCAAGAGGTAGTGGACTGGGGTTCCTGGGTGGCTCAGGTGGTTAAGCATCTGCCTCTGGCTCAGGTCATGATCCCAGGGTCCTGGGATCGAGCCCCACACTGAGCTCCCTGAACAGTAGGGACTCTACTTCTCCCTCTCTCTCTCTCTCTCCCTCCACCCCTCCCCCTGCTCCTCCTCTCTCTCTCTTTTTCTCAAATAGATAAAATCTTGAAAAAAAAAAAAAAAGAGGTAGCACTGACTGGATGAGCTCAGGTTAACCTGTGATTCCTAGATGGATCTGAGATGGTTGACAGGAGTAGGTATGGACTGGATTCTAGGCTGGAGATCAGCCTGAGTGCCTCATTTCTGGTCCATGACCTCTTTCTTTCTTCTCAATTTTGACTTCTGTGTTTCTGACCCTACCTTGCTAAGCTGTATCTTTTGACAACTATTTCATAAAAGTAGCCCTATTTACAGTAATTTTGAATGGACACTCAAAACTCATCTCATAGACTGTTTCTAAATGGGATCTCTATCTACTTCTTCCACACAATGGTAACTCATGAAAACAAAAAGCATTTCAGAACTAGCAGGCTCCCACTGGGCAGAAAGGTTAGATAAGATTTTAAGCCACGGCCACCCAAAAACAAAGCATGATTTGTCAGTAACTATTCAGAGGCAAATCTGGGGGGAAAAGAATTCTATTTTTAAAAAATAGAGAGCAACAGGGCTAAACTTAGCAACCCACTGTTTACAAGGGGCATTGCAAATCTGAGAGTAATCTACTATTTACAATGAAGTATTTTAAGGCAGGAGAAGGGGAAGAAAGTCAACAGCTATGACGTGATTATGTATGAAAAATCAGGCTTCCTGGCAATTAATGACAAATTTTCCACAAATCAAAAGAATGCAGGATGTGACTTTTACGTTAATAACTACATACTGTATATCCATGCTAAATATTGCATTAGATCATTACTTTCATCCCCTAAACTTAGGCTCATTATTTCATCATGTGGATGCTATATAATTTACTCAGAATGTTGCCTTTATATGGTTTCATCTAAACAAAAAGGCCAACTTTGGTTTAATAATAATCATTCTGACAGCAAAACTATTATTTTAGATAACATAGCGGGTCCTGGTATTCTGTGTGTCTAACCAGAAAACCAACGGGGTGGTCAAAGTGGATCTCAAAGGTCACAGCCCCAAAAGACATGAGCAAGAATACACCCGATTATTTTCCACAGCAGCCCCATGCTGGCTGCCACCCCATGTCTCACTTCTACCAAATGAGGATTGAGCTGCAATAATAGAATCTTTCATCTCCAAAAGGACAACCAAGTATGATGAGTAAAGTGGGGAAAACAACACTCAAACTCTGGTCCATTGCATCATAACTGGTAGGTTTTTCCCTTCTGCTCCCTTGCATAGACTCTGGCCTCCAACTGAGCTGGACTGAACACCAGTCATGCTTCACCCGCCCATCTCTCCATCCACTCTTGAAAGCCTATTTTCAACACCACCATTTCCATTAAGTCCCCCTCACCACCGAAGCAAAAAACTATTTTCCCTGCATCTGAACAAACACAGCACCTTAACCTGCCTATTCCAGCTTCACCTTCATAGTCTAGCTAAGAAGACCTAGATCAGTGGTTCCTAAACCTAGCTGTGCATCATAATCACCTGGAGAATTCTTGGACCCCACCCCAGGCCTACTGAATCAGACTCTCCAGGGATGGAGCCTGGGGAAAAAAAAATAATTTAACCACTGCATCATTCACTGCACACCAGATTTGAGAACCAAAACCTCAGGAAAATCTAGCCAAACCCCTTAATATTAGAGATGGCTAAAGAAAGAAACAGAGGGCACCTGGGTGGCTCAGTTGGTTAAGCGACTGCCTTGGGCTCAGGTCATGATCCTGGAGTCCCAGGATCGAGTCCCACATAGGGCTCCCTGCTCAGCAGGGAGTCTGCTTCTCCCTCTGACCCTCTTCCTTCTCGTGCTCTCTATCTCTCATTCTCTCTCTCTCAAATAAATAAATAAAATCTTTAAAAAAAAAGAAAGAAACAGAGAAGGAAATAACTTATCTAAGGTCACACAGCTGGTTAATGACAGAACTCTAAACTACTCCAACTATAGTGTCCTCCCATGCTACAGTATTATTCATAGCTGATCCTATCCCTCCTTTTCAACTGGAACTATTTCAGGGTAAGAACTGTGTACTGCGAACTCTTCGTACATTCTCACAGGACCTAACGTAGAGCTTCTGCACTAATTTTTTTTAACACACACATGAAAACAGTAATTATTAGTTTCTTTATTCAACAAATACGAGTGCTGCTTTGTAGAAGGCATTGTGTGAGGTACTGGGTATGCAAAAGTAAAAGGAAAGATGTAGTCCTCCCCTCTTTGGACTTAAGAAAAGTGAAGAAGACAACTAAACAGTTACGGGAACTGCCAAGGGGAGAATTTTAAAAGAGAATAACACGGGTGAAAGCCCTAAGGCAAGAGAGTGGCATATAAGAAAGAGATGAAAAAAGAGAAAAGGAAAAAAAATCCGAAAGTAAACCAATGTAAGTGAAGCATGACAAGAAAAAGATAGGAAATGAAATCGGAGAGGATGACAGATCACACCACCTCCTGCAGGTCATGGGTAAGGAGTCATTCTCTGCACACCTTTCAAAATGATCGTTTTATTTTTTTAAGTCATCACTACACCCAACGTGGGGCTTGAATTTACAACCCCGAGATCCAAAGTTGCATGCTCCGCTGACTTAGCCAGCCAGGAGCCCCTCACCATGATCATTTTAAAATCAAGAATTAGGGGCGCCTGGGTGGCTCAGTCATTAAGCGTCTGCCTTCGGCTCAGGTCATGGTCT